GTATATATGTATATATGTATATATGTAAATATGTAAATATGTATATATGTATATATGTATACATGTGTGTGTATATTTTTAAAGAGGTAATATAACTATACTCTTTAGTTCCTATATAAGTAGGTTTTGCATCCAAATGCTGTACATACCATGGAAATATGAGGTTCTCCATCCAAACCGGTGCAAATACCATGGAAATACGAGGTTTTGCATCCAAAATGCTGTAAGTACAATGGAAATGAAAGATTCTAGGTCAGGGAGTAGGGGACCATACCATTGGGGGGGAGCTACGGGACCGGGGACCAGGATCATATATATAGAGATACACATAAATAAATCGAATCTTGTAACAGTTCATTTCATCTGAAAAGGTTGGTGGTCTTTGGGCTGCTCCAGATGTCAAGGCACAATCTTCTTGCAGGTCTGGCTGAGGAACCACCTGGCAGGTAACGCCATGGAACCACCGCGACCAATGGAATGTCTTGTCTAACGGAAAGAACATCTGCACCTGCTATATATGTACAAGTGATATATATATATATATAATGTGTATATATATATATGTGTGTACATACACTCACACACCTCATGAAGTGACTAGTGTATGTATATATATATATAAATATTTTTTTACATGTATATATATATATATATACACGTATATACACCCGTGATTTGTGTTATTCTGGGTTTGTCTGAAAATAACATACCCATGAATACCCAAAATTTGATGGTTTATCGGCATGTAACCCACGTGAAAAATGGCCATTTGGAGGGCATATCCCAATTTCAAACGCACCCACTCCGCAGAGCAACTCGGAAGTTTTCAAAGTAAACTTCCTTTGGCCACGAATTCCCATATTATCCCATATATCCCAAAATTTTCCATATTGTATCCCATCAAATTCCTTCTTATGACCAGGATTTCCCATACTATCCAACTTTCACTGACTGAATGCGAAAAAAAAAGAAGGTGCGTATCGCCTCCAACAACCGGTGATCTTCAGCCTTTTGCTTCGATGTCTATTGCGAGACAGTCATAGAAGCTAAAAGCTAAGCACAACTGACGCAGACATTACGTGATAAAAGGCCACCACTAGGAGCACTAAAGCTTTGAAGGCTCGATGGCAAGGTCACCAGCTGCCGGCTTTGGCTGAAATTCTCGCCAAAAGTCAAACTTTGAAGACTCGATGGCAAGGTCACCCGCTCCAGGCTTTTGTTCAAATACTTGTCAAGAGTCAGGCTTGCAAGGCTGCAGGGGAGACGGTGTAAATATTCTCCGTGTGTTGCTCCTTCAAGATGTGTAACACCTTCTAAGGCAAACTCTCTGTCACAGTTTGGGAGCTCATCACAGGCATAACGCCATGCTGTGTACACATCAGTTGGTATGTAAGTGCAGGACAGCGGTGAGCGGCCAGCGGTTTTTCCAACGATCCCTTGGTCTCAAGTTTATCCAGCATCAACTTTCCATTCACATGATGCACAACAAGCCTCGCACCTAGCTTGCATGAAAGCTTCTTTGACAACAGCCTGCACAAATCATACCCAAGCATGGAGCGACTGACGCTCAGTGTCACTCCTTCTCCAGTCAAGCACACCACCTGAAGTTGCACCTCATCAGTTTCATCTGCTGCACCTTTGTCAGCAAATGATGGATCCACGTAGCCACATTGTGCGCTGGACATTGTTCGAATTTTACATACGCACCATGGCGAGTGTAGCCGAAAGGTCTGCAACGCTGAAATCTAAAATAGACCTGATACTTTTGGCCACCAAGTGCCACAAAACGTACTGTACTCCTGCCATTTTTTTGAGGGCTTCATGTTTGTTTTCAGGGCCGCTGGATGTGACGAAATCCATTTCGGGCCTGCCTTAGTCCATTCGCAAATTGTAGAGAAAGGCTACAGCAGTCCATGAATGGGGCACCCCAAAATCGATACATTCCAATATTACTCTCTGGTAAACTAACATAGCTATGGAAAACTAGGCTTTTTAACAGCTAAATCATCTATAAATGGCTCATTTTCCATAGCTATGTCAGATTACCAGAGGGTATCCCATAAATTCCCATATCATCTCATGATTTCCCTTAAAATAATCAGATAAAATCCCACAAATTCCCATATTATCCTGTAAATAATTCCCATGTTATCCCACAATATCCGACATGATCCCCTAATTTCCCACATCCAGTTGTCAGGGGATTAAGCCTATCAGAACAAAGAGGATAATATGTATATAATATATGTATTAATATGTACATATGTATATATAACCTTAACAGATTGGTATGAACCACAAAAAAAAAGATCTATATCCAGTAGTTTTACCCTCTAGTCATAATGGGAAATCCAACATTTATGGGTGATCTCATGAAAAAAAACTCCATTTAGTTCGGGGACGCCCCATCTAATCCCATTCATGTTGAACTAACATGTTCCAGGTTGAAAACTCATCCCCAGCCAGTTCTAGTTCGAACCCGAGCCCAGTGCCACGTCTCCCTTCCGAACTCGGATGTCTTTCGAGCCATTCGTGCAGAACGCGTCGCTTGCGACTCAGGGGGGACACATCTTTCATGAAGTGTTCCTGGTGGTCCCGTCGCTGCAAAAATCCCATGGTGTGGATTCATCTACCACAAAAAGTTCCACCAAAAAATATCACGTCCCCAAATAGATGGTTAGGAAAATAGGTCACCGGGTTCCAATTACATGGTTGATGGCTAGAAAAATGGCTATATTTGTGGCTGTTGGTGGTTTTCACAAAGCCTGATTGCGGCATCAATAGATCTCCGTTGCGAGATCCAGATACCATCACGTTGGGATCACAGGGCATATAGGGAAACTGAGTGATCTACGGGATATGTACGGATATGTATATATATATGTATACATATGTTTTGTATAAATATATATATATATATATAAATGTGTTATATATATAAATATTATATTGTATCATATGTATATATATATTATATTAAATAAATAAATAAATATATATATATATTGTACATATATATATATAACATATATTGTGTATGTGTATATATATATGTTACATATATATGCATTGGTTTACCGGAGGATAGTATCCTGCCGTAAAATAACATAGATATGGACATTCCACCATTTGTTGATCATTTCCTGGAGGATTCTTGGCACCTGGGATCTTGTTCCCACTTGCGCAATCCAAGAGGCCAAGATCTCTTTCTCTCCAATTCCTTTGTTGCAGCTTGAGACTACCGATGGGCTACCAGGGAGATGACCATCCCATGAACCATGACTGGAGGACATCGACATCGACCATTTCTACAGAACCATCCCATTTCGATAAACATATCCCCCATAGGGAAAAAGATGGAAAATAAACTTATCCACCATTTTACACCATAGCCTTTTTGTCATAAAACCTCTACAAGGGGGATATTTTCACGTTTTTTTCAGATCAGCCTCTGGGGATCGTTGGACGATTGGACCTCATTTGGACAAATGTCCACACGCAAGCAGCAACAATGTTAGCAATCTCACAATAGAATAAATGACTATATAAATTACGAGTACAGTGTGGTCTCATACCCTGGGTTTCCCCAGCAGTGAAAGTTCATCTTTCGCCCGAATCCCACCTTTGGAAATTCCCTGCAATATGCATTTGTCTGAAAGTATAGGGTATCCTACAGTCCCGAGTTTAATTGTCATCTTTAATCATTTCATGGATCAATCGAAGATTTCCTGACAAGCACACATATAATTAATATTAGTTGTTACAATAACCAGTTATATACACCCAATATAGTCATACATGTTTTGCTGGCTAACTGTAGATATGTATGTAATGTATGTATGTAATTGTATGTAATTGTATGTAATTGTATGTAATTGTATGTAATTGTATGTAATTGTATGTAATTGTATGTAATTGTATGTAATTGTATGTAATTGTATGTAATTGTATGTAATTGTATTGTAAGTAATGTATGTAATTGTATGTAATTGTTTGTAATTGTTTGTAATTGTATGTATGTATGTAATTGTATGCAATGGTATCTGTAATGTATGTAATTGTAGGTAATGTATGTAACTGTATGTAATTGTATGTAATTGTATGTAATTGTAGGTTATTGATGTAATTGCATGTAATTGTATGTAAATGTATGTATTGTATGTAATTGTATGTAAATGAATGTAATTGTATGTAATTGTATGTAATTGTTTGTAATTGTATGTATGTATGTAATTGTATGTAATTGTATGCAATTGTATGTAATTGTATGTCATTGTATGTAAATTGTATGTATGTATGAATGTATGTATGTAATTGTATGTAGTTGTATGTAATTGTATGTAGTTGTATGTAGTTGTATGTAGTTGTATGTAGTTGTATGTAGTTGTATGTATGTATGTATGTATGTATACATGTATGTATGTATGTAATTGTATGTATGTATGTAGGTGTATGTATGTAGATGTATGTAATTGTATGTAATTGTATGTATGTATGTAATTGTATGTATGTATGTAAATGTATGTACTTGTATGTAATTGTATGTAATTGTATGTAATTGTATGTAATTGTATGTATGTATGTATGTATGTATTTGTATTTGTATGTAGTTGTATGTTGTGGATGTATTGTAGTATGTAGGTGTAATTGTATGTATGGATTGTATGTATTGTATGAATTGTAGTCATTGTATGTTATGTATGTAATTGTATGTAATTTTATGTTATTGTATGTCATTGTTTGTAATTGTATGTATGTATGTAATTGTAGTAATTGTATGCAAATTGTATGTAATTGATGTCATTGTATGTCATTGTATGTAATTGTATGTAATTGTATGTAATTGTATGTAATTGTATGCAATTGTATGTAGTTGTCTGTAGTTGTAAGTGTTGTATGTAGTTGTATGTAGTTGAATTGTAGTGTATGTATGTATGTATGTATGCATGTATGTATGTATGTATGTAATTGTATGTAATTGTATGTAATTGTATGTATGTATGTATGCATGTATGTATGTATGCATGTATGCATGTATGTATGTATGCATGTATGTATGTATCCATGTATGTATGTACGTACGTACGTATGTATGTATCTATGTATGTATGTATGCATGTATGTATGAACGTAAGAATGTATGAATGTATGGATGTATGAATGTATGTATGTATGTCTGTCCCATATGGGATTTTCCCAAGCATTTATCCTCAATGCAAGAAATATAATATAGCATTATGATGCATTATGGGGTCATGTTGGCCACACCGCCCTACTTCCGTTCTTCCACCATCAACGTTGCAAGATGTATTATTTGCATACACCCAACAACTATTATCTCATGAATTCTGAAATCCCACCAGATGATACCAGATTTGTGTTATAATAAATACTCATAAATTTATTGATACCAGATACCAGTTATAAGTACTGAACTAACCCCGGTTTATAGAATGTATAATTCCATAGAAATAACCAGTTACATACCGCAATTATACAAATTCCCCGTCGGTTGAATCCCTTGAATCCCGAGTTTTCTTCGGCCGATCTTTGCGATCAAAACCCCCCACTATATCGCGAAAAAGTACATCAGTTATGGCCATTTATTAGTTATAACTGGTGATAAATTGATGGGATTATACATTCTATAAATGGGGTTAGTTCAGTACTTATAACTGGTATTTCGGGCCATAACTGTGCTTTTAGCTTTAAGCTATCCTTTGACAATCAGACATAGTTCGATGATTGCCTCCACAGCTTCGGGAACTTCCCAGCTAGCCGCTAGTAGCTGATGACACCGGTGCTATCCCATGATATTCCCATTGTATCCAAGTTCTACCACCTGTTTGATGGTTAAATCCACATCTTTGATGGTTACATCACCATATTTGATGGTTAAATCACCAGTTTTTGATTGGGTAAATCCACGGTTTTCAGGCTTAAATCACACTTGTTGATTGTTAAATCACACTTGCTGATGTTTAAATCAACATGTTCGATGGTTAAATCGTCATTTTTAATGGTTAAATCCACATTTTTGATGGTCAAATCCACAAATGTTCATCATTGTTCATCCTTAAATCATCATATTTTGAGGCTTCAATAATGTTAAGATCCTGATTTTTCACGGTAAAATCACCCCATCAATCCAAGTTTCTGAGTCCCAGGCTATCTTTTGTCTCACCAGCTTTACAACTCCGCCAGCGTCGACGGTCCTCGGAGGCCTGGGGAGGTTGGGACGTTGACGGACGGATGAAACAACGTTCAGAAATGGGTTCATTTGACCATCAACGATGGTGGTTTACCCGTTTAACCGAATGAAATTCCTCATCAACAATTGGGATTGAACCACCATATCCCAGCAATGAGGTCATATCCTAACAATGAGGTTATATCGTAGCAATCCTAGCAATCAGCAACAATTGGTGCTTGAAGCTTCAAAAATGGTGAGAACGAAGCTTCACAAACGGAGATTTAACCATACAGAAATGATAACATCAAAGATGGCAAAGCATCATTTTAATCATCGGCAATTTGGGGATAGTTACCCCAACCCACTCACATCAGATTCGCCATATGGCTTGGTCAGTCTGGAAATAGGCTACCCCATTCCATCCGGTGAATCATCGCTTTTCCATTAGCGAGTGGAGGTCCCAATGTTCAGATAAACCCAGCCCATCCAATCCTATTAAACTCCATTAAAGCCCATTAAATTAACTTAATTGAATTGGAAACAAAAAACGAGATGCAAAAAGGTTATGGCTGCTACTAAAATAGTGGTATAGTACACCACAATAATTCAGCATCTTTTTGGGGGTTACCACAAGGTAAGGCTACTATAAGTACTATTATTGGTACTATATAACTGACTACTATAAGTACTATTACTATTATAATTAGTACTATTGTACTATAGTACTACAATAATTGTTAATATCAAAAATAGTTTTCGACTACTATTAGTACTATTAGTTGAGACAAACAATTTCCAGACCCGTCCCTGACCTCGCATGGCTCTGGATATTGCGCCCAACGTCTTCGCAGGGCGCGGCGTAGCAAGGAGCGCGTGCGGAAATTCCACCAGAGCCTCTTCAGGTGTTTTCAGCAGGGGACTGATTCGCGTGGGAGTTTAACATGGCTTAACCGGCTTCACCATCAAAACTGATGGTTTAATCATAAAAAGAACCGGTTCTCCCATCAAACATAAGCGTTATAAAATGTTATAAATATGAAACATCGAGTTTTAGCATGGTTGAAAGTGTGGATCTGATAAGCAACTGATGGGTGGATTTGTTGTGAAGCAATCTCAAAGATGGGGGGCGGGTTAGAAGCCAACCATCTGAAAATGGGAAAATCCATTGGGTTCATGTACCCAAATCATCGGAAACTTGTGGAAAGATTCACTAAAAACCATCTGATCGCATCAAAAACGACCTAAATGGAAGTCCCGCAGGGAAACACTCTTCTTCAAGATCAGAATAGAACCAAATATATATATATATATAATATGTAATAATATGATAATATATATATATATACTATATATATATATTTATATATATATATATATTTATATATATATATATGTGGTTGTGGGTCAATGCATAAGGGTAGCGACAGACGATAATCAATCAATGGATTTCGGGGTGCCCCATTTTCAGATTTGTTTCAGATACCCTTTGGCAATGAAACAAATTCAATTGAACATCCCGGAAAAAATAATGTTCCTATTGAAACCTGAAGAAATATACATGGTATTTTCCTCCCAGCCGACACCTCCTCTGGTTCTGCTTTATCTGCCAGTTTTGGCGGTCCAACTGGCTGCAGGGAGTTGACAATACCTTGACATCTTATGATTGATTGGCGGAAAATTCAGCTGCCAAGATGGGCCAAAGGCTTGGTTTTACCATAGACAAATAGGGATTTCACCGACAAAAATGGTGGTAAAATAAGGGATAGATCTGGATAGAGTGTGGTGCACCAGTTCTGAATCGCGACACGTTGGTTGAGTAGGTTAACTAGGTTTAAGATTTATGGTGTATATATGTATATAAGAGAGTTAATGGGATTTAACAAACGACTGATCACTGGGGTCCGGGGTACCACTTTTTATGACTCAATGATATCTCGTACAGGTTGCATCTGACCGAATCATGTTGAAAGCCTGATTCGGTCGGCTGGTGACTTTGGTAGACCGTCGACTCTCTACTATCATCCAGTAGGGGGAACAAAACACAAGAACTTGGCATATGACTTGAGAACTCGGCATCTTGCCGTGTACCCGTGCCTTAGGAACAGCGCGTTATATCCCTTGACCCCTGGACCTTCCAATGCTGAAGTTCAGAAAGGTGATAGATAAGAAATTGAGCCGGTGGTTTCCATCAATTCCATTCCAATAAATATATGGATGAGGCTTTGTCAAGCCCATTGCCAGGAAAACGAACGAAAGGTTCCGGAGTCTCCGCTACTCACTGCACGCAGAGGGAGGCTGACTGTGTATGCAACACGCTGGTCCCAGAAACGGGGCCGCCATTTTGGAAGCCTTTCTTTCTTCCGGCAATGTTGCGGCCCCGTTTTTTGGGACCACGAAAGAGCAAACAGGAGCTGCTCGACGGTCCTGACGGTCCGGATTTCGTCCATTTGCTGGCGCCAGCCTTCCTTCTGCAATGCAAGCCGCCATGGACACACGCGTTCGTATAATACTATGAGGGGACATGGCGCAGAAGCTGTTTTGAATCAGTGAAAAGGGTCCACTTTCCGGGGCCGCAAGAAGCCATGCTAACCTCTTGTGCTCTGGCAGCATGCCGCCTTTACAACGCGTCAGGAAGCTGTCTTGCGTGCATCCTGGGAGAAGTCTGTGGCGTGCAATTGTTGCCGTGCATCCCCTCCGTGCGCTTTGGAATATACTATATACGGCCAGAGCACTAAAAGGGACGTAATCCCTTTTATTTATAACGTGGGTTTGAGGGGCGTAATCGGGACGTACGAGGGGCGAAACCACAGATGGGAGGGACGTCATCCCTTATTTACATGCGGGTTGGAGGGGCGTAATCGGGACGTACGAGGGGCGTAACCACACATGGGGGGGACGCAAATCCTTCATTTACATGCGGGTTTGAGGGGCGTAATCGGACGTACGAGGTGGTCCTTTATTTACATGCGGGTTTGAGGAGCAATAGTTTCGGGTAGCGTGGTCTCCTTGGAGTTTGTCCACATGGGGTTCTACACCCCTTGCCTGTGCCTTCCCAAACATAATCGGTTGCAATTGGATTCCTCACAGTTCGGTAGTGGAGAATGCGTTTGGCTGTCAGTCGGCTTGTGCTCAAACGGCGCTGCCACCAGGGCCCGCTTTTGGGGCCGCATCTGCATATGAAAAATGCATTCTTGATGGTGGGCCCTCAATGTATATAGTACATAAGGGCTACCGATCCCAAACAAGATTGGAATTTTGTCATGGATATCAAAGAAATCACCTAATCCAGGAAATCTGGGTCTAAAATAGGACCCCCCAAAGAACTGCTTGGCTTTTTTTCATACTGTAATGTTCCCTATTCAAATTGCCATAAATGGAGGTTTCCCAAGTCATGAGGGTCCCCCAAGTCATTCAAGTCATATGAGACCATAACTTAATATTGAAACAACCATGGTGACGACTGGTACGACTGGGGATCCCCTATGACTTAAGAAAACCCCATTTGGCCATACCATCATTTAACCATCATGTAACCATCGGCTTTCTGATATCCAATGGGAAACTAGCATACTGCAAAAAAAAAACTCCCCGTGTCTTTACCCAGGTGCTGCCAACAAAGTTCGTAGCTGTCGCGGCCACACAGGCCACGACTTCTTTCCTCTCCGGGCTCGTCCGCGGGCGTTTGGAAGCTCGAAAAAGGTCACGAAGTTGCTGCTGATGCCTGAAACAGGGAGCTGACTGATGGCTTTGTCCGAAAGTTGGGGACCCATGGCATGCATGGGACCCCCAAAATCTGATCTCATGATCCCATTTTGAACAGCCAAAACTTGAGGCATCCCGGCATCCCGCATTTTTGGAGAAAGTCACATCCCTCGTACAGTTGCTCATATAATATATGATATATGATAACACTTATGAACGTTGCGATTGGAGCAAACATATGACAATCAACACCTGAACGGCCTAGTGGTTTCAATGTCTCTAATTGACCGTTGAGTTCCCAAATTTGGATTGCATCGTAAACAGCTGGAGTTTTTGCTTGGTCACATTTGGGTCTGAGAATAGGGTATACATTCGCGTTTTCTCCCATGGTTCTGTCCATGATGTTTGTCCATTGAATGGTTTCTGTCCATGATGGAATAGGGCATCCCAAGTTTGATGATTTGATGATTGATCCTCATTTTCTGTACATTTGATGACCATGTCGGTACGAGTACCCTATTTCCAGACATGTCCAACTAGCAGATTGTTGGCTAAATAACCCATTATGTATACAATACTGCCATTGTATCCCCATTGTATTCTCATAACATGTTTGGTTTACCCTTGCTAAACTGCCATTTGATTGGTATACCCTCTGGTAATGTGTTACAGTCTGCGACATGGAAAGAACACAATGGAACTAAATGGGCCATCGGGCTATGCAAACAACGTTGGTCATTACCAGAGGGTACCCGGCACGGTGATTTCCCAGCGACACCAGAGGATGCTGACTCTCCATATAACCTCATTATACCACCTTTATTAATGCTACCCTCTGGTAAACATACAAAAAACTATTGAAAATGGTGATTTGTAGTGGTTTTACCCATGAATAATGGTGATTGTCCATAGTTATGGGACAGTTGACCAGAGGGTATATCATACTATATCCCAATGATATCCCCATGATATCTCCAGCATGATTGGTTGTACCCTCTGGTAAACTAACAGCTTGCTATGGAAAATAATCTTGCTAATAAGTAAATCAACTACTTTAATGGGCCATGTTCCATAGCACACTCCTAGTTTACCGGAAAGTATTCACTATTTCATTATATTTCACTATTAACATCTATTAAACATTACCAACTATTATTCATGAACCAGTTTCATAATATATCCCCATCATTGTTGTGTGTGTGCCCCATTTGCCCGCCCTCCAGGGGTTCGTTCCAAGCCTCCATGGACTTCCACAGTTGGGTCCTCCTCAGGATCCTCCTCCTCCCCTCCTGAAGATCCAATCAAAAATCAGCAGAAAATCCTGGGAATCGAAGAGCATGGCAGTGTGAAAAGACATGGAAAAACCCATGAATTTCACCAGTTGGAAATTCGATGTTACAAACGCTACAATGTCTACATTCGAGTCCACAAGTCATTACAGAACTGATTTCAAGAAGTGGCTGTTTTAAGCTGAAAACAAACAAATCCCGGAGCAGCGCGCCCGTTTTTAGTTCAAGGGTGATTCATCCCAGCCCTCCTTCCATGTCATCATCGCTGTTCTCCTGCAGTCGGGCAGCGGGAAAGATTGGTTCCCTGAGTACCATAATGATCATCATTGATCATGGATCATCAAGGATGTAGGTGGATCATGGATCATCAATGATGTCAGGATAAACATGGACAAACCATGATGATCCATGATGATCCATGACACCTATCAGGTGAGGCCCCCGATGGCCACGACTTGGATAGCATAGCGACTATAGTATTCATGGGGTTCATAACTGCGGGGCTTCACCCTGTATGAGAATTACACAATCAATCGTCCCACATCTTGGTTATAATCTATAATCTATATTTTTATATTCCCATTATATATTCCCATTCAATTCCCATTGCAAAAAAAACATTTAAAAAAAAACATAAGATGGCTATACACATGTTAAGAACCCATGAAGAAAACAACATCAAAAAAATAGCCCATGAAGAAGCCCCATGATATTCCCATGTTTCCCATTCAAAAGCCATTTACCCTCTGGTAATTTCTTACATAGCTATAGAACATATATAAAATCACCATGCTATTAATAGCTAAACCATCTATTTCGATTAGGGCCATCTATACCATAGCAAACTGTAAACGTTTACCAGGCCGGGTACAACCAATCATGGTGGAGATATCATGGGGATATCATTGGGATATAGTATGATATACCCTCTGGTCGACTGTCCCATAACTATGGAAAATCACCATTTTATAGCTGGGTAAATCCACTACAAATCACCATTTTCAATAGCTTTTTGTATGTTTACCAGAGGGTAGCATTAATAAAGGTGGTAATATAACTAACATAACTATGGAAAATCACCATTTAACAATCCCCATGTTCCCCATCCTGAGTGAGTCGCAGCATCTTCCGGTGCTGCATGGCCCAGGCCATCTGCCGACCACATCCAGCGACCTCCTGCGGAGCCAACGGGCCAAATAAATCAAGCGGCTGCCATGAGACAAAACATGTGTATACAGTTATGGCCATTTATCAGTTATAAGTACTTATAGCCCAACAGCTATTATCTCATGATTTCTGAAATCTCACCAGATACCAGATTTGTGTTTTAATAAATACTAATAAATTTATCGATACCAGATACCAGCTATAAGTACTGAACTAACCCCATTTATAGAATGTATAATCCCATAGAAATAACCAGTTATGAAGTAGATACCACAGTTATGGCCATTTATTAGTTATAACTGGTTATTTCTATGGGATTATACATTCTATAAATGGGGTTAGTTCAGTACTTATAACTTGTATTTTGGGCCATAACTGTAGAATCTCGGATGTTCAGAAATATTGAAAATATGAGGATTCTTGAAAACATGTAAATATATTCTATAAAATTCTATCTACTCCAGGATGACTATATAAATATATATATACTGTATATACATATATCATATATGGGTTTGTCTGAGAAATAGTGTAAACTACATTTTACTGCCTTTTTCTTGAAGAACCCGAATATATATAATAATAATTCATTATATACATTATATTATATATATATATATACATATTATGGTCTAAATTTCAAAATTGTCTAGATATTATAACTTGATGTAATCACAATTCTACGCGATGAATCAAATCTGAAACCGTCCATGAATGATATAGTTGCCTGCATTTCAGGGTGAGTTTTTGGGCAATCGTGGATGACATATAAATGATATGCGCATGATCATTGGATCTGGGTAGCAGTATGGATAAAGATTCGGTCTCTGAAAAATTGAGATGCCTACAAGTACCAACCAATAGGGCCTCAAATGACTCTGGTTTGTTCCTTTTCATGATCCAGCTCATGCTACATCAGCTCCCACAATCTAAATGAAAGAAATAAAATGAAATAAACAACCATTGTGGTACCCTCATCTTTGCTTGTCACATTCCCAGATTTCCCAGCTCGCTTTGAATATCACAAAAATCGAGCAGAAAAACGCTGGGATTCCACGGGTCGCACTGAGCCCCCGAACCAAGAAGCTGCGGGAAAGGGTCACCGTGTTGAACGCATTCTGCTCCTGGTCGCATAGCGAATGGATGGCTTTCCAGCCGAGGGATGCCTTGCCCGGTAGAAACGACTAAAAAACCTGTGATGTGCATCCAATTAGTGAGTGCTTAAGGATGTGTAGCATATTGTAACTAGGTACTGTATATATATATATAATTATATATAGCTAGAATTTGGTGATTCACCCGTGAGTTTGACACCCTCAGCGACTAAGGTGCACATCCACGATCATCCCAGACTTGGCAAAAAAAACAAAGGCCGTGGAGCAGTTTCTGCCCGACATCTCCCCGATCTCACATATTTTCACCATTTTTCGGTGTGGTTTCCGGCCAGGTACTAAGACAAATCCATAGTCTTGGAGCAGCTTGTCATTGGAGAACTCGCCATATGTGTTGAAGATCTCTACATCTGCAGCAAGGTCCTGAGACCAATCCGACCAATCCGACCAGTGTCGCAAGGTTCGTGAAGCACCTACGAGGTGGTAAACAAAAAACAAAGATCAAGGGTTGGTCCCTATCTGCTGGATCCCAGTAATATATCCCATGATATAAATGGTAGTTTAATCTTGTTCACTTATCGTAGTTTAATCTAGTTCACTTATCCCAGAAACGCTAATAACATCTAATAACCACTTGCGAGGACCGTGGGATCATCTGAAAAAAGTGAACAGGGCGGGTTACACACTAACTTGCAACAGGGCGGGAACACCAAGTTCGTCTCCCTAGGCCCAACGTTTTGAGAGTGAAACAGGAGGTCCTTTTTTGGATCGACAATTAGGTGCCTGGGAAAATGGATACGATTGACCTTTTTCACATTGAAGATTTACCACTGATGGGGTCCCGTACTTTCAGATCAAGTTCCATTGCAAGGTACCCTCTGGTAATTTAACATAGCTATTGAAAATGACCATTTAATGTATAGTGGATTGTCCAATTGAAAATTGTGCTTTTCCATAGTTTTTTGTTAGTTTACCAGAGGGTAACAGACCATTTGGACCCCTTCGCCACCCGCAGCATTTGGCCCAGCAGCCGTCAGGACGTAAATCATCAAATGTCCCGAAGGTCCTGTGCCAGACCTGTTGGCCTGCGCAGCTGCGCAGGGAACTGAAGAAGAATCCAGGCAGGTGACCTCACCAAATAAGGGTGCACATACCAAAAAACAAGTTATATAACATCGTAAGTTTATATATATATACATTATATATATATATTAATATATATATATATATGATATGATATGATATGATATTATATTATATTATATTATATCATATCATATTAAATATATATATATATATATATATTATACCGCCACAGGCAAGACCTAAAAAGGCCGAGCAAAACATATATATATATATATATATATTATTAGTTATATATATATATATTATAGACATTATATAATATATATATATATATACATGAATAGGGCCCATGAAATTGACATTTATTATAATAGCAACGCTCTTTTTACAGGGCGAATCTTCACCAGCTCAGCTCGTGGTCACCTTTGGGTGGGTTCCGCAGCTCCTACATCTCCAGATTATAGTGTCTAATGGTGGTAATAGATAGCAACAATAGTATACTATATTATGGTATATTACAGTATATGGAACAATAGTATGCTATATTGCTGGAGATGGTGTACCATTGGTAATATTATAGAACAATACTATATTATACTATATTATATCACAATCCCATACAAATATAATACATAACACAAAATAACAATAGTATGAATTTGTCGTCGTCATCATCATGAGGGTTTGACCACTGCCTGGCTCCTTCCTGTCCTACCATGTCTGAGTTCACATGACAAGCCTCGTTTCACCCGACCAATTTTTATAAATTTCCAAGAGGGGGTATAACTAGTTGATCCCCATTGTTTGTTGGTAGAACCCAAGGATTGATGCTTCATCTTGTGAAAGATGGTGTGGAATCCCCGCTTTTGATGCTTAGAACATCTTGAAACTTATTATATGATTTGATAGTTGAATCCACATGTTCGATTGTGAAACCTGACATGTTTGGTAATGTTTGGTGCTTAAAGCCCAATTTCCATTGCCCTCTCACCATCACCACATCGCCCCATCGCCTGATGAACTTCTGTGGTCTCAGCTAGCGCAATTTGCCTCAAGCTGCACCATTGCGGGGGGAGCTTGCGCGTAAAAACTCAAAATTTAGGACGCTTATAACAGTGATAACAGAGTTTGGTTGGTTTGGGTGTTCAAACTGAACATCAACTAAAACACTCAAAGTCAAACTGAAAAGAAGCATCTCAAGTTCAAAAACCTCCAGCCGATGATCTTCTTTTGCAACTCAGTGGCATCGGTGGCACCTTCCCTTGCCACACGCCGAAGGCATCGCGTGCTGCACCCCTCGGCTAGCGTCGTGGCGTCGTTGATGGGCTTCGATTGTGAAGGGCTATGGCTATGTGAAAACTGTCTGTTTAGATTAGTCTAACATGTATACATAGTATACTGGTTGGTGGTATACCTATCTCTCTGAAAAATATGAAAGCCAGTTGGGATGATGACTTCCCAATATATGGACAAATAAAATTCATGTTCCAAACCACCAATCAGGTATTCATAGTATATAATCTAAACATAGTTGGGATCATTGAGAATCAAAGGTGCCCTCCTTTCATGATGTGTGGGTTATTTTCCGGGCTTGTCATAACCCCGGGCTTCGCCTAGGCCTAGGGGGGTTGGTTGCCGCCCATGATGTTACTGGTTGGATGTTGCTTGAAATGGTCATGCACATTTTGAGCAACACACTCAAGGCGGAGTTTAGGGATCCCCAAAGAATGGAAAGATTGCATGAGTAAACAGAACACACCTGAAAGAAGTTCATTCTCCAGTACTACCAATGACCATAGACATTTCGGTATCCCAAAGAAGAGTCAAATTCCAAAGAACCCATGGTCAATCTTAGATATCCTGCATTTCTTCAAAAGCTGGTCAGTAGATATCCATCAAAATCGCAAGCTTCCAGTACTAAGTTGACCAGTTGACCACCTAAGCCTAATTATACTTATAATCTTAGTATTATACTTAGCCTAATCACAATCATAATCTTAGTATTTGACCACCTAATCACAATAAACCCATACAAGCCCTAGTTTTTCTGGTTACAAACTACCGTCACCACCATAGCTCCCAGCTGGTGGCAACCAACATCCCTGGCACCGAGCCGCGTTGCGCCCCGCGGTTTTTTCGAAGCTTTCCCTGGGCTCCGGGGAGCTTTTGTGATGTGCAGCAACCCTACAAGATAGATTCAGATAGATAGGACTTAGGACACTTTGAGAACTGAATTTACTGAATGATCAAGAGGAAAACATAATTTATGATCATAAACCCATGATGAATTCCCATTCATGAGCTGAAACAAAACAAGTTTCAAAACATCTATCTGCATAAATCACTCGCGTTGTTTCCCCAACTATGACTATGGAATGGGAGTTTGTTTGCCCGACTAAGCATCATCTCACTGACTGACATCGCAGTGACTTTGTTTTAATATCTATATATATATAGTTTATCCATATATACATAATTGGATAGAAGTGGATCATGATTAATCTATCTATGTATATGTATATATAATATACAACAGGGATCAACAGGGTATCTTGTCATGACCGCCTTTGAACTGGCTTGACATTAGCCACTTCTTGTTGGCTACTTTCATCCCCCCTGTATAATATTGAAGACTCCCATTGTATGGTCCAAAATCTGAGTAAATTCGATACAAAACCATGATGAATTAGTTTGGAAACTCCAAAAAAATAGCCTTGGAACAAGACACTATCCAATCTGAAGATGGTTTTTTTCCTACTTGGGGATTCCATGGTCCATTCTTTCGTCGCGCCACGGCCGCCACGGAACTGACCGCCTGAGAGTTCTCGCACCGCTTCGCCCTTGGGCACCTTTTGGCAACGATGGTTGAAGACATCCGCCAGAGGCACTAGCGCCTGGAAGGAGCTTGGGTGCGCCTGGAAGTGGTGATATCAATCTAACTGGGGTATATCATATCCCATTGTATATGTGTATATATATATATATTGCATACACTGTGTATATATATATATTGTATGTCTGTATGTATATATGTATGTATATATATATACATTGTTTCTACAGGGATAAATATATAATAACAAAAATAATAATAAAAATAATCAAAAAAATAATATATTCATAATAGTAATAATAATGAAATACATATATACATGTTTTATTATATGTATAAGTATAAGGTGTGATCTCTATATGTTGTGAACATATGTATATATATATATACATATGTGGGTGAAATGTTAGCGTTATTACCCACTTAGTCATTGGGCACATCCAAATATTGTGCGTTTGAGCCACCCGAAAATCCGAAAACCATGGGATCGTCCATCTTAGTGCGCAACCCACGGCCTCCAAATGGAAGTCGTCCACAGTGAATGCCTGGGAAGTACAGCTGGTCGCTTTGATTTGTGGCACTATCCACCTTGGGATGTGACAATTTTCGAAAAGCGCTTCCAAAAAATGCAGATGTCATTCATTTGTCAACATGAACTATCCCTTATGCCTTATTATCCCTTTTTGGACAAGTACAAGGCATTTTGGCGTTTGCCTCTTAAACCTCCCTGTCTTGTTTTGGATGCAATTCTTCCTCAAGCTTTGCCACACAAGTGAACCCGGTACGTACAGTCTAAACTTGAGAGGCTTAATGAAAACTGAAGGGCAAATGATACGAGATAAGGAAAATGGGCATGTCAACTAAAATTTATTGTTCAATAGCTATTGTTTCATGCTCATGCTAGTGTCAACATATTCAACTCCATGAAAATTCTGCATGTGTTTTCTCCTCTTGGCGCTGAATTTTCGACCGTAGATTCCCGCTTCATCCCACCCATCGTCGCCAAAGAGCTCGAGAACTCGCCACTGTGGCCGCATGCAAATAATCTTCCATTTGGATGGAGACCTGAAAAAAAATACGGCTGCTGCTCCTGGAAGAATTTCAGCACAAAAAAGGCACAGAGAGAAACCACACAACAAAATTGCCCTTAAGGAATTTTCACTTCTTGATGTGTGACGGTGAAGTGTAGAGCCATTACACCTGGTTGGTGGTATACCTACCCCCTCTGAAAATATGAGTTCGTCAGTTGGGATGATTATTCCCAATATTAATGGAAAGTCATAATCCATGTTCCAAACCACCAACCAGCCTGTTTTTTGCTGAGCGACACCCTTCAAGGCTGGTGCTCTATCCAGAATGTGTCGGAGTTCCGCAAATTCCTGGGCGGCCATAGGCGGCCCACACATCGGAAATTTCACCATTGACCATCCAACTCTTAGGAAATAACACGAAAAGGGTCCTTGGTATTTGTTTATTTCCCACCAGTAAATTAAGAGTCTGACCCTGCCAGTCATCGGGGTTGGAAGATTAGTTTCCACTTGAACAATGTGATTTTCAGGGTCTATGTTCATTTACCAGAGGGTAACATGTTCATCATTACAGACTCAGTCGACTGTTGTTCACTGAAAACTCTCTGAAACCAGATCATTTTCGCCCTTCAGCGGAGCTTCTGCTTCCAGCTCCATCATCAGCTCCTTCACCTGACGATAACCATCCAAGCATTGAGCACAAATGATGGCATGATGCTTACACTTACACAGCTTACACATGATTTCCCAACAATTGATTTGAAGAATTAACAACAATTTTTCACCTGTATAACATAAAACAAAAAACTTTTGCAAACCAACATATTTGATTTATATAATAGCAAAGTCTTACGTTCATTGTGGTCCCCGTAGAACATGCCATTTCCGCATATCACCCACAGGAGGCTTGGCACATGGCTCTGGTGCCCAGGCATCCCAGGCGGCCACGGGGAATTTAGAGATGCACCGGGTTAACCCCATTAAAGAATAGTTATAATTAACCATGGCAGTTATATATGGAATTAACTATGGTAGTTATAATTAAATATAGTTGTACCTGGCACAGACCATTCATAGTTAACCGAGTGATGAACCAACTTAGCTCTGGGGGCCCCACCTTGCATGGCAGGACGAGCCACTGGATACAGTGCAGCCATATGGAGATATTGGATAGACTCAATAAAAGGACTTACCAGCATAGGTGACAACGCATCGATATAGTACCAACATATCGTTCTGAATTATACAGGGTTTATGTAGATGTATGAGTCATTGTATGATTGTAGCAGTCTACATATAAATAAATAATAATAATAATAATAACAACAATTAATAATAATTATATCATAATAACAATAGTAATAATATTAATATATATATATATATATATACATATACACACATCATGATATAACCATGGCCAACTGGCCAACAGTCTGACAATCATTGCACCGAAGTAGAGCCATCCAACGCCCAACGCCCTACGCCCAAGCGACCGTGTCTTCCGCATCAGTGCCGCGCAGATTTTCGCGCAAGGTCGGGCTCCAGAGATACGGTAGCGACTCGTAGGGTCGGAGGAGCGACTGGAAGTATCCTGCCGTTGTTCAACCCGAGGTATGGGCCACAGGGGTGGTAAAATAGAATTCTTTGAGAACTAGGTGATGCCACATTAATCGCGAGGTTGATTTAGTGAGGTTATGTCTGTTTATGGTACAGTAGATATACCAACTGAAGCTAAGGAAGTGGGGCACCACCTTGCAGAAATAATCGAAAATGGAAGTCAATGAGTTAAGGGAGCTAGAGTTGTTGGAGGAAAAACATGGATAAAGCTGTGTGTTTACCTTCAAATATAGGGGTTTCCTGCAAATTCCTGGTTCAACATGTTTACTACTGGAATTGAGCTTTAATTTGGGGAAAACGTAATGCCCTACCTGCAGAGAACAAAAGCTACAAAGGGCTACGTAGGTTTTATATGTTTTTATGCAGTAATTATGTATGTAGTTGAAATGTGGTTTGTCAGAAACCCTTGCCCCTCCCCACTTAAAATTCAGTGACGTTTACGTTTACATGGTCAATTTCACAAAATGGACCCCCGCAACGCACGAGTTCTGAGAACACCATAGAAAATCACAGCCACAGCCACATTCAAACGTGATCAGATAATTACTGTGAATTGGTCTGAAAAATTACTTTACTTCGTGTGATCCCCACCATGACATTTATACATGTTCTTACTGGCACATCTTCTGGCACTCTATCTGACATATCTTCTGACATTCTATTTGGCATTCTATCTGGCATATCTTCTGGCATTCTATCTGGCAAATCTTCTGGCATTCTATCTGGCATATCTTCTGGCATTCTATCTGACATATCTTATGGCATTCTATCTGGCATTCTATCTGGCATATCTTCTGGCATTCTATCTGGCATTCTATCTGGCATTCTATCTAGCATTCTGGCATTCTATCTGGCATTCTATCTGGCATATCTATCTGGCATATCTTCTGGCATATTTTCTGGCATTCTACCTGGCAAATCTTCTGGCACTCTATCTGACATTTTATCTTCCTACATGAGGTCCGGCAGGGAACACTGGGCGCGGATGGTCGTGGTTGCGGTCCGGCAGGGAACCCTGGGCGTGGATGGTCGTGGTTGAGGTCCGGCAGGGAACACTGGGCGTGGATGGTCGTGGTTGAGGTCCGGCAGGGAACACTGGGCGTGGATGGTCGTGGTTGAGGTCCGACAGAGACCACTGTGCGTCGAGGGTCGCGGTTGAGCAGGAGGAGGAGGAGAGGAGAGGAGGAGAGGAGACGAGGAGAGGAGAGGAGAGGAGAGGAGAGGAGAGGAGGGAGGAGACGAGGAGAGGAGAGGAGAGGAGAGGAGAGGAGAGGAGGAGCAGGCAACTGACATAAAATCTAACAACCCTCACCTGGCAGGTGGGGAACAAAGTCCAAAAAAAAAATCAAAGGTTTTATGTTATTGTTCCCTATTCAGAATTCTGACAACAATTAATCATGTTGCCGGTTATACATGGTTTTATATGTTATACTATCCATTTATATCCCCATTATATCACCAACAACATGTTTTTTGTTTTTCCCCACCTGCCAGGTGAGGGTTGTTAGATTTTATGTCAGTTGCCTGGTCCTCCTCCTCCTCTCCTATCCTCTCCTCTCCTCCTCTCGTTGTCCTCCTCCTCTCGTTGTCCTCCTCGTCCTCCTGCTCAACTGCGACTCTGTCGGACCTCAACCACGACCATGCACGCCCAGTGTTCCCTGCCGGGCCTCAACCACGACCATCCACGCCCAGTGTTCCCTGCCGGACCTCAACCACGACCATCCACGTCCAGTGTTCCCTGCCGGACCTCAACCACGACCATCCACGCCCAGTGTTCCCTGCCGGACCTCAACCACGACCATCCACGTCCAGTGCCCCCTGCCGGACCTCAACCACGACCATCCACGCCCAGTGTTCCCTGCCGGACCGCAACCACGACCATCCACGCCCAGTGTTCCCTCCCGGACCTCAACCGCGAGTATCCACGCCCAGTGTTCCCTGCCGGACCTCATGTAGGAAGATATGGGACAAAGAATGTGCAGAAGAAAGTTAGAAAGAATGTCAGAAGATATGCCAGATAGAATGCCAGATAGAATGCCAGCAGATATGTCAGAATATATGCCAGAAGATATGCCAGATAGAATGCCGGATAGAATGCCAGAAGATATGTCAGATAGAATGTCAGAAGATATGCCAGATAGAATGCATCAGATTTGCCAGATAGAATGCCAGAAGATATGTCAGATAGAATGCCAGAAGATATGCCAGATAGAATGCCAGAAGATTTGCCAGATAGAATGCCACAAGAAAATGCCAGAAGATATGCCAGATAGAATGCCAGAAGATATGTCAGATAGAATGCCAGAAGATTTGCCAGTAAGAAAATCTATAAATGTCATGGTGGGGATCACACGAAGTAAAGTATTTTTTTAAACTGCCACTGCCCATCCAATACCCATGATATAAACTTTACATGTGCGATGATCACAAGTTCCATGTCAGGATGGCCAGGTGTGACCCAGTCCGATTTACTGTACATGTCCCTACTGTCTAAGTAGTCTATACTCGCCGATGATCTTGTGAATACTCCAGATGCTCCATGGTGCTGGAATATTTGCCAACATTTATATACCATAAACATCACCCAGTCATGTAGGTAAATATACCAGCACCATGGAGAATATGGGTAAGATAGCAAATTTCGAAACGACCCCTGACATCTGAAGACTTCTGAAGGTGCTGGCGCATCTTCCTGCGCTGCTGAATGGCGAGGCGTCAAGCCCCAGAAGTTAGCAGAACTGGTGGCAGTCTGAGATCCGAGCATCCCAAGAAATCCCAAAGCTTTCCGATGGAAAGTGCTGCTCATCCAAAATATGCTACCGGTGGTATAGATTATATCCCCATGTTTTTTGGGATCCCCGAAACGATAGGTTCTCCACTTTTCCTAGGATGTGAACATATGATGCTCATCTCAAATTCCCTAGGTTCCCCACTTTTCGATATTTTTTGGGGGTTGCTCCAATGTGGCCTAAGAATGGTCGTAAGATCGTTCTTTGTGTTGATCAATCACAAATTACTCACCAACCCCAACCAGATTTGTTCGTTGCCAGCTACATGATGTAATTTACATCCTCATCTTTGGGTTGGAATACTGTTGGTAATCCGGTCCCGCTAATTTCACATTAAACAAAGCCCGAAACATGTTTTTGTTTAGTCAGGATTTCGTTTGCTGGGTATTTAATCTCCAAATCAGCAGTGAGTTTAAAGCCTCTGTCATTCTATAAATTGGTTGGTTAAGAACTGGATTCATCAACCAACCATCATTTCGAAAGTATATCCCCATCTGTTTTTTGATGCTTAAATCAGTTTAAACAACTGTGATTATAAGTGAACTATATGCTATATCAATCTATATCATGTTATATCACAGTTTGATAGTTATACGGCTTACACCATGGCTTAGATCATGTTATAACCAATAGTTATGATAGTTAGTGATAGGGGTTGTAATTACCATGTTCGAAAACCTGTGAAAACAACAACACTGTGATGATTTCTAGCGGTCCATGCCAACGGCTTCGCGACTTCAAGGCCCTCTCAGCGCAGATGGCCAAGCGCAAGGCTGGGTCCAAGTCCAGGTGCGCAGCAGCTAAATCCTGACGGTGCGGCGCAAGCCAGAGGTGATAAAGATGATAAAACATGGGGCAAGAGCTGATACCATAAGTTTAGCTTGTTAGGTACCGTTACTGTAACTAGTTTGTTTTTATGTGATAAAACAAAATACCATGATAGGTGATAACAAATGATACCCCAGCTTAATAATGCTTGTTGGTAGGTATCGTTACTATAATGGTTAGCGGCTAGCGGTTTAAACTATGGCCCTTTGTGGGTACCGTGGGAATCTAAACTCCTATAAGTTGGGATATAACATGATATAACTCCTATGACTATGGTGAACTTACACTCCACTTATAGCTGAAGCGACACTGAAAAACTAAGTTTGCCAAATTGGTAATTTGATCAGAAGCGGTGATTTGTTCACCAAACGTAAGTTATGTGGATTTAGTATGATTTAGCTATATAGCTACGTTGGTTCGGCATAGTTTAGTTCTGTGAGCTGTTGAGCTATTTCCAACTGCTGGGGGGTCCAGGCGGGTCTTAAAAGGGGGATGCCTTTTGGAGGATTGGTTGAGACATGTTGAGACAGACACTGAAACATATGAGATACCCTCTGGTAATTTGTTACATAGCTATGGAAAATGGCCCATTGATAGTTGATTTACCAAGTAAAAATGGCTATGTTAAATTACCAGATGGTACAGTAGGGGATCATAAATTAACTGATTGAGACAGTCTGCATCAAAACACGGGGATGTTGATATATGAACCAGCAGTCATTGGTTTGAAGCAAAATGGTGGTTATCAGTCTGGTTGGAACTCGCAACCAACGAGAAAGGACGATCAACCGAAACACAAGAAGGTAACTCCGTTCTTGTTGCGGGGGCCACCCATCCAACCAACTGTGGATGACAATCACAAGTAGCTGTGGTAAATAAATGTAAATAAGACTCCTTTCAAGGAACCAACAAACAACCCCAACTTGCCACTGAGGAGTATAATTATTCCAACCGAACATGTAAGATGGAATTGATGTTAGTTCTACAGTACTACAAGGTGAGCCCCCACAGCTATGAGTTGTTGTTGTTGTTGTTGTTGTTTTTTAATAGCCCCATGATTTTCGGATAACATGGCCACAAACCATCATAACCCTCTGGTTAAGTCAAAATAGCTATTGAACATGGTGTCATAGAAAGTTCGAACTGATTTACCCATTAATAGCATAGTGATTTTCCCATATAAATCACCATGTTCCCCTGGTTTTCCCATGGTTTTCCTACAAATCATCATAAATCCAAGGAGATGGACATGGATATAAAATATAACTCATTGGCCCACCAGATCCAGCACCAGATCACCATCCCATGGCCTAACTGGAGAGAAAGGGATTCTCTTGCATTCAGCACTGGTTTATAGCTGAATTCACCACCACATGTATTTATAATTATATGGTTTATATGGCCATTTATAGCTAATATATATATATATATGGTTTATTAATCATATATTAACCATATATTAGCCATAAATTCATCATATACTAACCATCTATTAGCCATATATGAACCATGTGATACATTGGCCCCGCAGCCGCCAGCGCCCCTTCACCACGACAGCCGCCGGGTCTCTGCTGCCAGAACTGTGTTCCTGTCCACAGGAAGCGGCCAACCAACGACTTGGTCTATCCCACCTAACATCACCTAACTATAGGATATACATGAATATATATCTGGTTGGTGGTATACCTACACATCTGAAAAATATGAAAGTCAGTTGGGATGATGACAGTCCCAATATATGGAAAAATAATTACTTTACTTCGTGTGATCCCCACCATGACATTTATACATGTTCTTACTGGCACATCTTCTGGCATTCTATCTGACATATCTTCTGACATTCTATTTGGCATTCTATCTGGCATATCTTCTGGCATATCTTCTGGCATTCTATCTTCGGCATTCTATCTGGCATATCTTCTGGCATTCTATCTGACATATCTTCTGGCATTCTATCTGGCATTCTATCTGGCATATCTTCTGGCATATATTCTGACATATCTTCTGGCATTCTATCTGGCGGCATTCTATCTGGCATATCTTCTGGAATATCTTCTGGCATATCTATCTGGCATATCTTCTGGCTTCTGGCATATCTATCTGGCATATCTTCTGGCATATTTTCTGGCATTCTACCTGGCAAATCTTCTGGCACTCTATCTGACATTTTATCTTCCTACATGAGGTCCGGCAGGGAACACTTGGTTTGGATACTCGCGGTTGAGGTCCGGCAGGGAACACTGGGCGTGGATGGTCGTGGTTGAGGTCCGGCAGGGAACACTGGGCGTGGCTGGTCGTGGTTGAGGTCCGGCAGGGAACACTGGTCGTGGATGGGCGTGGTTGAGGTCCGGCAGCGAACACTGTGGATCGCGGGTCGCAGTTGGACGAGGACGACGAGGACGACGAGGACGACGAGGACGACAAGGACGACAAGGAGGACGAGGAGGAGGCAGGAGGCAGGAGGCGGCAGGAGGAGGAGGCAACTGACATAAAATCTAACAACCCTCACCTGGCAGGTGGGGAAAAAATGTTTGAAACCACCAACCAGATATATATATATATATATGTATATACTGTATCCAAGATTTATTTTAACACTTAGATACACCCCTGGCCCAGTTATGAACCAACTTACCCCAGTTATCATGCTCCACATGGACAGCGCCAGGTGAAATCCCCCGCCTAATGGACAGCACGGCGGACTTAGGGATCTCAGCCAGAACGCTTCCTCCCATGGGATGACCAAACGCACTGGTGAATAAGCACTGCTCAGCATTTAACAAGGGTCTACATCAATATTATACATATTATGTAATATTTTATATACACGCACACTTATAATATGTATTACATATTAAATATATATGTAAATATATATATATATATATATATATATACAACTATATTATATATATATATGAATATATAGAGGGGTTTATTGACATTTATTCATAGCCAGCCCAGCATCGAGGTCTCAACTGGGGGTTGAATCCCTATGATATGATGCTCTGTACGTCAGTACGTCTGTACGTCTCTTGAGAGGGCCACCAGTCTGTAGTGAAAATCCACAACTAAGCAATGATGTAACATGAGTCATTGGCATTTTCTGGGACGGCTCTAGTTTGTTTTGGTAAAAATTGGTGAAATATCCTAAAATGCTAAAGATTGGGGTATGTGGTATAGCACAAAATCACCATCAAATCATAAGGAACATATTTCATGATCAATCATAGTGTGAAATTGCCAAAGTTTTAGACAAAGCCACATGGCTAAGGAAGAACAAACTCACGGGGGAAAGTCTCAACTTGGGGATTTCTTAACCAGGGTTTTGTAAGGTGATCAACCAGGTACTATATCCAAAAACTGCAACCTACAACATATCGAAACAATTCGAAACATGTACGGAATATGTTTTACCAACATTGTTGACCCATATTTACCAACATTTACCAATTTTTTTTGGGGTGGTAAATGTGGGTAAATATTCCAGCACCGAGCATTGGGGATGGGATGAACATCCGGTCGGATGTGGCCGAAGATCTCAGCCGGCGCAAAGATCGAATCTTTGCATTACTTGGATACAACATGATATAACGTGGATTATATACTGTGTATAACAGAGAGAATAGTTAATCTATAGATACCAAACATTGTTTTGTTTTTTCTCAAACTGAAGGACTTGCGAAACCAGTTTATGGCCCAGAATGGGAAACAACATCCACCATGACTTGCGATGTCACCACCGGTGCGGAATCAGACTCTAATGGACCTGGGAGGACCCCGCTGCCTGCTGCAATCTCTTTGCGACTGATGATGCCCATACCACCCACCCCAGAGGAGATCTGTAGGGCCTGGGGCCATGGGGATCTTTCGAATTGCCCCACATATCATGGGGGGATATCATGGGAATCTCATGGGAACATAAAATATCAACCGTAGTGACTCGGGATCAAAACCCATACGGACTCGGTGGTGCCCCAGGTCGGACTCGCGACAAGGACAAGTCCGACAAGTTGCTAACTTAGTTCCGTAGCAAAAAAACGTTTGGCTTCATGCTAGATATATAATGATATATATATATATAAATATCGAATTCGTTGATGGATGTTCATGGAGGCTTCAAACCAACTTCTAACTGAGCGGGGGGCAAATGGATGGTATGGATCATTGGCGTACTGGTAAAACCCTATGGATTTCCAGTAGAATGTCGAGTTGTAAAGCGATAACATTGGGGCACCAATGCGCCCACCACCTTTAAGATTCTTGGTACTAAATCATATGCAGTTCTTGCAGGTGTGTCATTTAGAGATGCTCAAATCTCAAGCCACGATTCAGTAATGTTTAAAAAATAGAGGAAATGCAATGATAACCTTCCAAACATCAAATCCCTATGGATCCAAAGACTGTCTCAGAAAGTACTTACCCCCTTCATACCCCAAACACTTCCTAAGCAGGTACGACTGGATCCATGGGGAATCAACATTAGCATCGAATCACTTGGCTGGCAGCGATGAGTCGTCCGTGGACTTTGAGTAGTAGGTAAAACAATACCATAAATAAACCATCCCATTTTCCTGGGAATGGTTTATAAAGTTTATATATACCACCAAACAAAAAATGGTGATGACTGGGGGATGGTAAACATGACATTGTTTTAACCACACTACTTGTTTTGGTCACCTCTGTGAGTTCACCCCAGCAATCTGCACAGTTTCCAGCCGCCAAGCAACCTCTTGGTCCCACCATACGCCCTGCTCCCGCAACCATGCCTTAGGATCCGGTGCCATGATCAGATGACAACATGGGACCATGATTTCAGAAATCACCAAAACAAATGCACCGGTCACCAGCAACATCCAACTTCTCAAAAACAAAGAAACTGGTTGGTGGTTTCAACCTACCCCTCAGAAAAATCATGGAGTGAAAGTCAGTTGGGATGATGACATTCCATTCCCAACTGAATGGAAAGTCATAAGAGCCATGTTCCAAACCACCACCCAGCCATTTATATTCCATTACCAGAGGGTTAATCACCATTAAATCACCATTATATAATATCACTAAATCAATGATTCAACGAACTGTGGCAAGTCATCTCCGAGAACATGGCACCCCTCGACTCACCAAAAAAAGGTAAGGACCCGTGGCCCTGGACGTATCGACGTAAGCAAGTTGACGCACAGTTCACTTGGCTAACGTTGGGGTTCATGGATATTTATGGCGGATATAACATGATATATATATATATATATATATAAGTATATTGACTATACTATAGTTTTTATAGTATTCATAGGGTTTATAAAATTCCATAAACCCAATTATAACTGGGGGGCCCCATTCATACTCTTGTGTGTTGACCATCTATGTCCAGCCGCTGATGTGTTGCGCCGGCTGTGGCTTTTCTGCTAGGAGATGGAACTGTAAAAATGCAAACATACAATCAAAACAATAAAGCAACAAATCCCTTCCCCCGATCATTTAAAACAATTTATATAAATACCCCTCCCAAAACCATGTTTTTTTTTCACATCCAATCTTCTATTAAGACTTGGTGGCTAGTTTCTGGGGAATCATCTCCGAGTCTCCCCGCCTGCAGGGTGTCGATGCATTTCCCAGGAAGCTTTCCACGTCCGGAGTCCATGGGTGCTTTGATTTTTTTCTGCCAGAAGATAAGAACTTTTGATGGGAAAAATAAAATATAAGTATGTATATATACATATAAATATAATTACATATACATAATTATGTATAATTATATACATAATTATAAATAATAATTACATATATACATAATTATTTATACATATAATTATATACAGTTATATGTACAATAATATTGTATATATATATATGATTTTATATATGGACATGTGCCTGGAGATGTATGCGGACATGTGGTAAACTCCAACCATCCACAAAGAGAAATCTCCACCTGTTTATGGACGCCTGAAACAAACCATTGATAGCTATGTCCAGCCGTCCAGCTCTGATAGTTGAGATGTTTTCTTGGTGCCTAAGATCTATGAACATCATGAGATTTGCAGGGGGGGTCTTCCTACCAAACATAGGTGAAATAACTAAAGCATTGAACACTACTTCGATATTTCAGAAGTCAGAGCTGGAGTATGGTTTCACCAGTGAAATAGTGAAAATATGTGAAAATAGTGAAAATACATGGTTTCACCAGTTTTGAATCAACATTTTGAATCAACATGGTTTCACCAGTTTTGCAGTGAAGCCATAGTGAAGCCAGTGGGGAATCTCAGTAACTCGGCACCTTTCGACATTGGTGTTGAACCTCCAAAATCCAGCAGTTTTTCCATGGCAAAACCCAGCAATTTTTTTGGGGCGTCTTGAGCCTCACAAATATCGGGGCCTCAGGCCGCCAGGCCTCTGTTTCCCGAGATCATACGATCATACTCTAACCATCTCTAACCTCTACATTGCTGGTAACCTTGAAGAAGTTTGACTTTTATGAAATATCGGGATGGGTCAAAACCTACTGTACCAGGGATGTGAACATCATTTACCTGCTTTAGGCTTCACCAGCATGCTGTTGACCGCCAGATATGCTTCCTGCTTGTGGATTGGCGAACAAAAAACTCTTCCTGGGTGGTTAGGAACCTCTAAAATTTTGCGCCAGGAAGTTGAGTGAAAACAACGAAATTGCCAGCCAGAATGGGTGTATAATCATGATGCAGTCTTTGACACCAGCCGAAAAAAAAAAACATGCTTAGCTGGGTATGAAGGTCATCTCCAGCAAATTGGCTACGCATGGCAGAATGACATGATTTTCAGTAGAACCAAAGAAAGGTGACAGAAAATGTATACCCAGCTACTGCCATGTCTAACCCCCGGAATGTGGCCAAGATACGATACAGTACAGTATTGATTGAACCACAGTATTATTGCTTACCAATGTTTGAACATGCCATGGGCAATGATTCAAAGAGGACTCTCTTTCCAGTGGTTTTAGAGCCATTGATTGGCAAGGTTTTGATCCAAAACCCATTTATCTAAAGATCTTAGTGTGGGCCGAGCCAACGCGCAAGCTTTGTTCAACTTTGTTCATGTTTGAGTGGTAAAGATATGTATGTTCATACATGTTTCATTTCTCTGTGTACTCAATTTCATATCCACGCTCGACTCAGACCACTATGTATCGCCTGAAAACTCAAGCTCACCAAAGATCCTGTAGTTTGCGTTACAAAAAAGAAGTAATGACAACTGCTGGCACATTTGCTCCCCACACGAAGCAACATCATCAAATGCATATCGCTACCCAACCCTCACGGCACCTATCGTGGGAGACGACCACTACAGCGCCCTCGTATTCTCGCAAGGCAAACTCCAAAGTTTCCTGCTGTGAGAAACTTGGAGACTTGGAGTCGGAAAGTGCTGTGACCTTGTCCTAGGTTGGGCTTAAATTACCCTTAAACATACATATATAATATATATAATTATGTAATTTATATAAATCCCTTGGTTAATCATGTCCCCTTGGAAAGACTGGGAATTTTCGTTTTTTTTCGCCTATTCTCAGACAAACCCATCTCATAATCTTAACCAGTGGGGATGGGCCCCACAAGATTGACCATCTTTGATACCAAAACGTTTGAAAATTCTGGGTGGCAATATCAACAAATTATCTACACAATTAGCATTGTTAAACCATATTAAATTTTGGGGAGTGAATGTGATTGATAAGTTTGGCTTTTTTCTATCCCATAACCACATGATCATATGGACTGCACATCTCCCAAGCCGCGAAAACCACCATTCTGACCATTCTGAATCTCATCACTGGGAATCAACATGGGTGGCTAAACCACGCAGACATGTTCCAGGGCTGATGCTTGCAGCATCTCCATTTGCAGGGTGGTTTCACCCCTAAAATATTCATGGTCAACGGTGAATCTTATATACCTGCCAACACAAACTCATCTGTAGCTGGTTGAGACATGTGATCATTGATAGCAAAAGATTAAAGTACTATATAAATATCCCACTGGAATCACCTATACTTTCTTGGTTTCCCTAATTTCTCGAACTTCCCCAAACGCCTTCATGGGCACATCCAGGTGATTCGTTGGCTCATCGAAAATGAGCATGCGCGAAGGAATGAGCATCATCCTGACCTGTAGCAGGATCCAAAAGGCGGTTTCAAAGAGTCCCATAGCTGGCATGTACCCTCTGGTTTTATATGGTTTTATATGGTTTTATAATATAGCCTATAGCGGAAGCCATGGCCCATTTAGTTCGAGGATGTCCCGTCCTCAAAAATTGTAATGTTCCAAAGCTATGTTAAATCACCAGAAAGGTGTGCAGTATGAAATGTTGAATTTGAACCAGTACTACGCGAGATAAATCTAGATACCAACCCCATCCACCCCCAAACAATCGACGAACTATACCCAACTACGATGGATGGAAGAAATCCTGCACCAGTTGATAGATGGTTTATTATCCCATTATTTATAGGGTCTCAACCATCCAAGGTGGTGCAGGATTTCTTCCATCCACAGTATCAAATGAATCATCAAACCAACAGCAAATCAATCAACATCAATGAACCACGATCTCTTCTGGGCACTTCTGTTCCTACCAACATTTGTGTAATCCTTTAGCATAAATATTGCAACGTCAATACCCTCTGGCAATCAGAAATATTCAGAAATTCCCCATTCCTGGAGTTTTTTTTTGGGAAATTCATTAAATAGATGGTTAAATGGGAAGTTCATCTAGAGAATTTCCATTGTCTCTGTTTACCGGAGGGTAACACCTAAGGCCCAACAGCTGGGGGCACGACAATTGCCAG